GAGAAAATGAACGAATAGACGATTCAAGTTTGATGTTGACTTCGGAATTTTAGTCATCATTTTCATGTCCGTAACTTTCATTCGTTGCCTCTTAAATTCTTCTTCAATTCTAAAACGACGCAAATTTATTTTATTGCGTACACACCTCTTGACTTTGTAGACTTCACTCCCAACTTCACTCCCAACTTCAACCCAGACCTCACCTTTCTGTCGTCTGTATGGAGTGAAGTGGTGTGTAAGGATTGAAATCTCGCTCGTCTAAAAGAAGCAAAAGAAAAAAAAAGCCTGAGCACAAGGCACAAGGAAAACACCTACCACCGACCACTACTACTACTACCTACTACTACCACTACCACCACTACTACCACCTTAAAACTCATGATTACTATTACTTCTCTATAAACTCTTCCACCAAATCACTTTCTCACATAAACACCACATCATTCAAGTTGATCACTCTTTCAACTTCTTGAATGGTTTCAATATACAATTTTATACCTTTTGATCAATTTATGCCTGATCTAAGGTTGATTTATTCTTTATTTGTTTTGAATTCTTTTGGAGGAATCTAGGAACATTTCCGAAGCTCCCATTCAAGCTGGCTCGGAATATTCATCTGGGTCAGCAATCCACCCGGTCGTCGCATGCCTCGTCCTCTATCCAACTCGAAGCGACAGCAAGGCGCTGCCAATGTACGCGATACTCGACACGACAATGGTCTCGTAGGTCCAGGGAAGAGGGTGCCTAGGCAAAAGAGTAATGGACATATGAACGGACATGCGAACTCCTCCGATTCTATCCCATCAACACCACCGCCTTCGACCCCACCACCTGCAAATGGACACGCGAAATTACCTGGAAATGATGACAACACATCGGAACATAAGTTGGGGGGAGATGTGGCAAGGAGGACCTCAGTCGGTGGCCACTCAGATTCTTCTCAAGATGGTTACAACATACCCACGATTTCTTTCCCACAAGAAACCCATCGTCACATCAATGTCAATTCTGCCAAAAACCCTTCAGTACATCGCGATTCCGGTCCATGGCATTTCGCGAAGACTGTTTTGACATCCTGTCCAATCTCTGATACACTGGCCATTCTTATTGTTCTTCTCCAGGTCCCACCCGCTTTCTTGACGATCATCCAATTACTGTTCGCCACTTTGACATTCGTCCCCCCGTCCACAACTGCTACATCTGGAATAAGCTTTATCGATATGTTTGAAGGAACTACTGGTACACCATCATTGGCAACGATTATGGTGGTTGACGTACTGTTTCTCTTAACGTGGGTATTTTTGTATGGTCCTCTGCAGGAGTTCATCTTACAATTTGCACAATCGGTAATCGCATTGACTTTGGGAGGAGGTCTCAGTGGGAAAGAAGCTGGAATGAGGAATGTGGTTCTCTGCTTTGGTTACATTGGGGTCTCGCATTATGCATCGATCAGCAACATTAAATCTGTCGGACTTCGTACTCTACTTTCATCCCCACGAAACTTTTTAGGATCATTCGACCTCGACGATCCTCTCGAATCGATACCAATCCCTATACCGAATTGGAAAGACCGAATACCGATTTGGGTTCGAAATATTCTTGCAGTTCACATTCTTGCACAAGGAGTAGTGCGGTATATACGAGATCTATATGTTAGGAGTCAAAAACGCGATCATGCAGCATCTACCCTGGGGGATCCTGAAGCAGCGAAAGGATCAGCAGATGGAGCCAATGATTCTTCCACTACAAACCCACAAACACCAGATAACGAAGCTACAAATTCATTACATGCTAGTCATACAGCCATTACAACCAGGAAAAAGAGAAAACAAAGCGCACAAGTCCGCATACAGCAACCTTTATGGGCAGCTTTAGCAAGTACAAAAATCGTCATGGTCAAAGAGTACGAGACGTCACACGCAGCTGCGGAATCGGCGGGTACAAATGCAACAGATGCTAGTAACCTTGGAAATGCACCTTTTAGTACCGAGCCAGATCGAATTTGGATTACCAATGTTGGGTCTGATGCTGTTTTATTTAGTACCAGTTATTTTCCCAAATTCACGATTCCCGATGAGAATCAAGATGATACGGAGGGATCAATTGTGAATTCGAGAATGCCCATTTTTGTTAGGGTCAATCAGGCACATTGGCAACCCACGAGAATGGAAGCTAGTACTAATCCTAGCTTACCCGCTGGAAAAAACACGTGCTGGGATGGAGAAATCTTTGGGCTTGCCCCTTCTAGCAGTTATGAGATTGAATTCTTCAATGTCGTTAACAACAAAGTCATTTTTTGCACCAGCGTCAAAACGCTTAATACACCATCGGATACTGCAGCTGCAACTTCCCTTTCGCCTCTCCCTCCTCAAGTATCAGGACGACCAGGATCACCCAGTTCCACTATTCAACAATCAATTCGAGCATCCAAGACTAAACTGGAAGAAGAACGTAGCCGTCAGAAACGCGAACGTAAAGATCAACGCACGAAAATCCAGACACTTCGTAGAGAAATTGATAAGCTCTCACACATCATAGCCACGTCAGGTGGCAATGATGAAAAACAACGTCAAAAAATTCAACAAGCCACCCTTCAGATTAGACAAGCAGAAGAAGCCATTACTTCCATTCAAGCTGATATTGAAATTGCCGATCGATTACCTTCAGCATCAAAGGATTCCGAGTATATTTCAGCAAAGCAAAAGTATCGAACACAAAAAGACCTCTACGAGAAAGCTAAATCAGACTTCATCACGAAAAAGAAGGAGAATGAAAAGCCAATCGCAGCTTTGAGTGCTGAGCTTCTCAACAAAGAACGACAATCCGAGAAATTGGAAGCTAGATCTATCAAACTTACTCATCAAGCAGATGATCTCCGTGAAGCTAACACCAAAGGGTTGAATGAAGTTCAACGTAAGGAGAAGCAACGGAAGGATAAAGATGATGAGAGAAAGATGGTTCAGGCTAATTGGGATAAGTATAACGTGGAGGCGCAAATGCAACTCCAACGATATACTGATGATCTCACCATGCTTTACCCCTACATCGATCAATACACTATGGCTTTACAACAGCAGCATCAACAAGAAACGAATCAATTATACGCCAATTCCCCGTGGACAACAGCAGGTGAAAGTTCAATGTCCGCATTTCCCGCATACGCTCCAATCTCGAATATGGCACCGGCTATGCCTCAAATAGGTGGCTTAATGACAATGTCACAAACCACAAGGCAAAGAGGTAGAAGCTCGAGTATGTTAAGTAACGAGAGTGGATTTACCCAAGGTCCGGATTCAGATGAAGAACATATTCCTTTTTATGGACCACATCTTCAATCACAATCCCAACCTCACTATTCGCCATACAATACCAATCAATCACCGAGTCCATTCGCTCCCGCGTTCCGAAATACATCAACATCGATCTCTCAATTTCAACAGAATGAATCATTCAATTGGCCACCAACTCGCAAGGGTAGTGGATCAGGTGATGTAGATGCATCGGGTAGTAGAAGTGGAAGTGAGAGAGATAGTATTGGGGATCCAAAAAGTCCATTGAATGAAAAGAGTCAGTTACCGTTGCCTATTGGAGCGGGATCAGGCTTTGGAATTGGAAGTGCGGGATCCAGGGGCTTGAGAGGGGTTTGGGATAATTGATTCGATTGATGCTGGTGGATTTTTTTGCTGTGCTGGTGTTGTGTTCTAGTGTTGAAGGAAGCGAAATGGATTGAATTGGATTGGAAAGCTCGGAGATGATATCGATGAGCTGGCTGACTAGTTTGATGATTATGCGGCATGGCTTGAATCTCAAGTGACGTGTGAAGTGGCGGTAGTTGGACTAACTGGTCAAAACTGGTGGTGTTGGACGCGATATTGGCATAGCAGTAAAATTGAAGCTTGCAAGTTTAATTTCTCTATACTTTGATTGATTTGATTTGCATGATGCATTCGTTTATGACGTGTGATATGTGTGAGTCTACTTTGATGCGATGATTTAATGTAATGTGTGATTCGATATGTAGTAGATCTTTAGAAGGAAAGTGGGGGAGAGGAGGGGTAATGGAGGGGAAGGGTTTCTCGGATAATTACTCGCTTGACCTTATTGCTTGGTTTTTCTTTTTGGGTTTGGTTACCTAGGTTTGGTTTGGTTTGGAAGGAAAAAGAAAAAGAAAATGGAAATGGAAATGGAGGAGAGTTGTAATTCCCTTTCATCGGGAAATATCATCATTATAGTGATGTCAGATGTCGGATGTTATGGTTTTATGTAATGTAATGCGATGTAATGAGATATGGAATACATTTCTGGGCTCAATAGATGATAGCCGACCTGCGTAGCTAGCTATGTGGCTCTGCGAGGGAGGGAGTAGACAGCCGGTAGATTGTATTGTGGGTAGGTATGGGCTTTGGAGATTTGGGGGGTTGGGTTTGTGCTGTGTGTTGTGTTGTGATATAATGAGATGTAACGTTTTTCTTGTGAGTGAGTATTTTGTTATCATATAAATCGATGGAAAGGTCTAGCTGTGATGACGAATTTGGTTGGATGGTTGATGGTTGGATCTTTGGTGGTTGGAGTGCTGTTCTGAAGGAGTGTATAGTTGAGTGTATGAAGATGGAGATAGGGATGAGATATTGGCTAGGCGATGTAATTCCGATGTACATGCATATAATTAGATATCCGTACAAAGTGAACTTGAAGTAAAAGTGTGATAGAGTATTGATAAATTATTGTAGAGTAATGTTTGAATCGAAGTATTATGTATATGATTTGAAGGATCTATGTTTGTATTTGTATTTACGTATTTTTAATCATGTATATCTTCTTCGAGAAATAAGTTTAGTTTGAAAAGCATCAATAATTTGTGATATGAGGAAGATTAGAAGAATGCAACTATTAACCAATTAACCCATTAACCCATCTTAAAGAAAATAAGAAATACGTCGAAATTGGCGTCAAGAAAAACACGTTGTTTAGTACCGAAAATTTGTAGTTCTGAGTTCATGCTAGGGTGAAGACATAGGTGTAAACTGAGGGGAAGAATTGCGTGAGTATTGAGAGAGATGTGATGCGGAGCTAGCGTTCAATCCTTGAACCTGTCCTTGAGCCGTCGAAGTTGTTGTCAATCGATGAGGAGAATTAAGATATACATCTTGTACTCCAGGTCTGAAAGCACCAACGTTTGAATGAGATTCGGGTTCTGGGTGATGGAAACCGGAAGCATTAGGGTCTGTCCAAGACAAATCTTCAGGGGACTCTGCATCTTTCGTATAACCTAGTTCCTTTACTCCCCTTCTGAAATATTGCTCCCGTATTTCTTTTTCCTCTCTCCAAAATCTTTCACTCTGAGCTTCTTTCTTCCTCTGAGCAGCTTTTTCTGTTTCCTCTTCCCGAGATCTTTTACTCTGAGCCTTTAACTGCATTGGAGCAGCTTTTTCTTCTTCCTTTTCCCGAAGCCTTTTCCTCGAAGCCTTTTCCTTCCTTCGAGCAGCTTTTTCTTCATGATGAAGAAATTCTATGTGATCAGCTGCCTGTTGTATATGTTTTTGAAGTATTCCTTCACATTTTTCGACCCTTTTACGCCACTCGTCAGTATCGCTACCAGTAAGATGACGAAGACGCAAGATAGATTCATGCAAAGCCTCGAGACCTATCTCGCCGAATTCGCCTTTCAAGGCGACCTCTGAGAGCCAGGGGGACCTTTTGATGCACTGAGGCTGCTTCCATTGTATTTTCTTTTGATTGACATGCATTCGAATCAATTCTGGCGTTAAACAATGCCTTTCCTTGTCAAAAGGTTCGGACATATTCAAAGCTTCCAAAAAGTCCCCAACTCGATCAAACAGATGTTTTTCATTGATCATGTACTTTCCTTCACTTCTAAGTTTTTCATGACGCCATACGCCACCAGCAACCCAGATAAATAACTCATCGGCTTGAGCGTTCCATTGAGATCCGGGCACGGTAAAAACAAGGGTGATTCTGGTGTTAATGCAGTAAAAAAAGTACCGAAGTGTAAATCGTGTCGAAATCGTGTTCTAAATGTTGTATTAATAGTATCAAATCCCAGATGTTGTCGAATGTGTATGTAGAATGTGTATGTAGAATGTGTGTGTAGAATATAAAAACAAAAGGAAAAGAAAGCAGAACGGGAACTCAAACTATTTGGGCACATTTGCTGGGGCATAATGATTGTACGTGACAGTCATTTGCAAGATCATATTCACGATTTTTCTGAGTATTTCGTATGAGTGTGCATTGAAATTTTGATAAAATTCATGAGTGTGCACTTGAAACCTCGATATGATCTATGAATATATCTCAAATTGATGATGAGAGTTGTGAGTGTGCAAAAATTTGTTGATGAGAGGTATGAGTGTCGACTAGACTCTGATAAATTGCATGAATATACCTCAAATAGTTGATGATTTGTATGACTTTCTACCAAAGTGTTGGTAAGAGCATGAGTGTCCACTGGAACGCCAATACATCGTGTAAGATTTCATCAAATTGTTGATAAAATCTGTAAGTATGTACAGAGTCACTAACAAAATGTAAATATCCCTCCAAAGGGTAGAGATATATTTGTAAGTGTACATCGAATTGATTATAAAATTTATGATAATGTATTGAATCACCATCAGTTTCTTCGAAATCCTCCCGGTAAGGATTTATTCGGATAAACTGATGTGAGTTCACCACCATTTCTCATACAAAACTCGTGAGGGGTCTATCCCAGGAAGATTCCGAATATAAGAAACCATGGAATCAGTCATAGTGGGCGGCCCACATATATAAACTATTGTTTGTGGTCTCTCCTCCATTGTTCCCAACGCAAGGTCTATGTCGTTGTTGGATATTCTTCGGTGATGGGTTTCAATGTTTGATTTTGCGTTTGTCTTCAAAAGCTCGGTAGTGTTGTGGGGGGAGCCGGTGGCAAAAAGCCGAAGATCCCATTGCTCCCTCTCTTTGAAGATTTCTTGTAAACGATCGAGGAACAATATTGCTTCTTCTGCCTCTCCTTCTCTTCGCTCGTCTTCCGCTGGAGTAGAAGTCGGTACCTTAGTACTGTAGAGGAATTTTACCTTAAGATTCTCGCATCTATCTTCCTTCGCACTTCCTTCAGTTTCATCATCTCCTTCTTTACCTTGTGCCTTCTTCCCTTCTCTCCTTTCGTTCTCTCCCAATTCTGCATGAATACAAGAGATCATACTCATCAAAGGATTGATACCCATTCCACCTGCTATAAACACCACCCTGTTAACATTTCCTACCCGCTCCTTCCGATACCCTTCGCCTCCCTTCTCATCCCAAAAAGAAGGAGGCCAGGTAAATGACCCTCCAATTCTAACCGCCACTCCTTTTCCAAGAATTTCTGATGAAGGCTGAAATAACCAGGCTACCTGTTCACTTATTTTCCCCCCAATATTTAGTTTTAAGATGGGCTTTTGTATTGCTAACTCGATACCCCTTTCTTTCTCTTCTTCCAAGTCATCAATAGGAGGGGAAGATTGGGACGGAGGAAGATTCACAATGCTAAAACCCCCGGGCCTCTGTATTCCAGGGAGATAGAGATCGATCCATTGTCCAGGTTTCCAGGTGAGGTGTTTGGGAGAGGAGTTAGATGCGGGATGAAGAGGTGAAAGATAAAAGAGACGCGTGGTGGAGTTTATGCTTTTCACTTGTGTGAGGATGAAGTTGTGAAGGGACTAGAGGAATGATTAATCAATATTCAAAACTTTTTTTTCTGTTGGAGATGGGCCGCGATATTCAAATGAGAGGAGCTTGAAGAGAAGATAGAGAGTTTGGAACATATGAATATATGATATACATACTTCATCCCTTGGTTCTGTCGCCGTCCGTTCTATGTGGCTCAGATATTGCTTTATGTCTTTTCCATGTTTTCCCTCACCATCTGTTGTAATTGGCTCTCTTCCCATCTCTTTTCGATCAACGTTCTTCCCGCTCTTTTTATTCTTCTTCAACTGAGAACCAAGTTTGTCCTCTCCCAGACTCGTGATCCTAGACCCCGAAGAGACACTCCGAAGGAAATCCAATCCAATATTTAGTGGCGGCTGTACTCTGGATTCTGATAACCTTATGGGTATTCTTCGTGGGTGCCGGAATAGATGATAACGAACAATTGGATTCATTTAATCGAAAGTATCACTAGAAGCTCAGAAGAAATCAAGAGTTTACAGTCATAACGGGGTGTCGCTGTGTGGAAGCATGATGAGATGAAGTTGAGTTCACCAGTGGGTGCACGGACTCACGGGACACTCAAGAGGGAAAGCACAATTTCACACCAAAAAGAGTGATTTTAATAATTCGATTAAAATTCAAAATCTCGATGAATTTATTTGACAATTAAATATATAGATCTAAAGTATAAAGATTCTATATTGATCCAAAATTGAATCGAAAAAATCAATATTGATATTTTTTATAAAAGAATATATAATTCCCCACCAAAATTTTTGGTGGGAAAACGCACTATTTGTATTTTGAGCTCAAATCGCATTTGATCTCGATCATTTTTATAGAAACCATTCTTTGATCCTTAAAGAACTATATATATCAGGTTTGAAAGAATTCAATGGTATATTGAATTTTAGTTGAATTATTAAAATCACTCTTTTTGGTATGAAATTGTGCTTTCCTGTCACGTTGTCCCGTGAGTCCGTGCACCCACTGGTGAATCATGGTAATGTGATTACAATAACGTGTTTTATCACCGAGTGGATCATATCACCGAGTGGATCACTTTCACCTCAATTTACCACTTTAAACTTATATTATTCAATAATAATTGAATCAATTGATTAAAACTATTAAGAATATAATAATCTAGGATCTATTATATTGTTTTAACAAGTTCTTGAATTATGACCCGATTTTCCATACTTATTACAACACCTATTAGAAGATACTTCCCCTGTGACACTTTGCCTTAGAAGAACTGCGAGAGCAGGGTACAATTTATCCTTAGAATTTATAACTATAGAATCGGGAGCAAAGTGCTTATAGAATATTTTTATATACTAGTTATATATATATAATCATGTATGTATACAAGTGTGTATATGAGTGATCGCAATTATAATTGAGTGTAATCCGTAATACTATTCTTTTTTTCGAAAAAGCTTACCCTCAAGCTTTACAATTACCTAATCCGTAGATATATTGGTAATCCCAATAAGGCGTTATTGTTTATGTTGTAATATAGTGTGATAAACAGACGTATACACAAATTTTGCTTTTTTCGCAATAAAAAGATGTATGGGAAATGGAGAAAACCATTCTGTAGCCTAGCAATAATGCAAAGCCTTTGAAGTATATAGATTACCCGAATTTCCCTTTCTTTTCCAAATCTTTTCTAATCACTTATCTTCTTTGTATTTTTTAATCAATAATCAATATACTTTCTATACTATTAAGAAAACATAGTAGTAAGAGTAAGTTGTTATTAATGTAATTAAAGTAATAAAAGGATATATATATAATAGTGAATTGTTTATTTTTCTTTTGTATTTGCTTTATTGATATACTTCTTTATAGCTTGTGGTGAAGAGAGCATTTGTTTTTTCTATTATACAAGCAAGTATTCTGTTAAGAAAGAGGAGGAGTCGAGCTGCAGTGGGAGTAGTAGTAATCTTGTCAATAAGGAGGAGGATGATAAGGAAGATGGGTTAGATAATGAAGATGTATGTAAGTAAGACTTTTTTTTGGTGTTTTTAGCTTGCAATCAGTTTGTTTAATAAATACGATTATAGATATTAAAGGCAATATACCTAAGGATGGGATCGATCTTCAATATGCTTATTGGATATATTTATTCTATTATCTTTCGAGGCAAAAATTTGGAGGAAGAATATAATTCCTTGATTGATTGTATTGATAATTACAAAAAGAAGTTTGTTGATAAGTTGATTATAGTGGTATATCATTTTTGTAATCTTGAAAATGATGGCGAGATAATTGAGAAAGATATCCTGGAGGCCTTGTATTAAAGTCAATTTGGTTATAAATTCGATATATTTCATCATAAAGGCGTTGACTTTATTGATATCGATAAATAGGGATCTTCAAGCAAGAGGTTACCAAAAAAGATAGTACTACAGCAAGAACAATGTGTTTAAGAGGACAACTGGGTTTGTGCTGATTATATACACAATTGTATTTCCAGCAAGAAAGATAGTGTTTGCTATTGACTTCCTAGATAATCGTTTAGTTAATTTTGCTGTCTGCTTTATTTGACTAGTAAGCATAAGTATGAACACTTGTTTAATAGGAATATACATAAAATGTTTCTTTAATACCGATTGGCTATTATTGAGTATAATAATATGGTAAAGATAAATTACAATTTTGCTAGTTTTTAGCAAAGTTAACTCTTAAGATAGTTTGATATACAAGAGAAGCTAAAAAGTTGTATTTTGAAAGAAATGCTTCCTTTTATCCTTATTCGAAAAGCTGTAAAGCATTGTATAGCAGAGATTACAATATAAGAAGATGAATTAGAGTAGTAATATTAGCTTATCATAACTCAAATAGAAGTAGAGCTTTCGGCAGCTTATGAATGATTAGGTACAACTAAACACCAGCTTGGTTTTGTTATTATACATATTACGATTAAGGGTTATCTTATCTTTCAGCTTGTAATTATTCTGTATATACTTGTTGTCACTGTTGACTAAAGACTCAACTAATATTTCGATTTAAATTATCCAGTCTTTACTATTATACCTCACCCGACTATAACCATTAATACTTGTAAAGACTTTCTTTTTAGCTTGATTTAAATCTA